TCCCAGACAGAGAGAACTGGGCTTGAGAGGCTGTTTCCTCACGCATCCGATCCCCGTTCTATGTTTTCCCACACCTAACTGAAATCACGGCAGCTTTACACAAAAAGCCAGCGTCAGCTCTCTTCCCGGACAGAGAGAACAAGGCTTGAGAGGCTGTTTCCTCACGCATCCGATCCCCGTTCTATGTTTTCCCACACCTAACTGAAATCACGGCAGCTTTACACAAAAAGCCAGCGTCAGCTCTCAGCAGTGCAAAGGAACGGCCCTTCGTCTGCTGGATGCTTGATGACATGGTATAGCGCCCCACACTCCTGTGGCTGCAAGCCCCATTCTCCAAACAGGCTTCATAAGAACATAAGAGAGGCCAATGTTGGATCAGGCCAAAGGCCCATCCAGTCCAACACTCTGTGTCACACAGTGGCCAGAAATACCAGGTGCCATCAGGAGGTCCACCAGTGGGGCCAGGACACTAGGAGCCCTCCCACTGTTGCCCCCCCCCCAGCACCAAGAGCATCCCTTGCCCCAGACCGAGAGTTCCTATCTATACCTTGTGGCTAATAGCCACTGATGGACCTCTGCTCCATATGCTTATCTAATTCCCTTTTGAAGCCGTCCATGCTTGTAGCCGCCACCACTATAGGCAAAGGTTGCCAGCCCAGGACAGGCTGAGGAGCACCAAAGCAAGATGTGCCAAATGGGGTGTGTGTGTGGTTTGGCCGCTGATGCCCCCACCTCCATACCTAACGCCAACGCTCGCTTCCTGGCTGGGAACTTTGTCCAAAGCGGCTGCTCCCCGGAGGCCGACACACACCGCGAATGAGCCACATCGCAAGTGGTGGCGTGAGGACAGCAGTGGATCTTGTCCGCGCAGCAGGATGCCTGCAAGAGAGCAAAGGGACCGGCATGCCGCTTCCATAGGCCACCCCCTGCCAGGGTCTGCACACTGGCACAGAACCGGACACACACAACCCTGCCTCTTGCAAATCACAGCTTTCCTTACTTTTTGCACACACACACACACCCAAGTTTCTAGTCCTCATGCATTCAGACCGACAGTACGGACAACCTGCACGAAATGCCTAGTGAACCGCGGCAGCAAAGTGACATGGCTGAAGGACGCTCCCGGGGTTCTCGAGGGTTTCAGTGCCCCGTGCAAGTTTTTCCATCTGCTGATAGCTCAGCAGACGAAAGATGGACAGATCAGTGTGTTAAAGATTCTTGGTGCACACTTTCCTTGAAGCCGACTGAGTACTGGATCCGCCTCAAGGTGTTGGTGCCATGGGCGTCCGGTGTGAAACAACTCAGGCTCCCCTGCTGAAGACACCACCTCCGCACAGTCCGGGCTGAACAAACTCAGAGTCCGGTGGCACCGGTCTCAGCACGGATTGTTTTCAAATGCTGCTTTAAGCGTTTGACCATTTATTATGGTGTCTGTGTTGCCGAACAGCCTAGCTACTGTCGTGATCTGTCCTGAGCCCGTTCACGGGGAGGGTGGACGATGCATTTGAATAAATAAATAAATAGGTGCAGCCCCCAGAGGACCCAGAACCTCTGCCCACGCGCCAATCCCTTGTTTTACGGTCGCCTCGGGGACTGTCCCCAGCAGAGGCGGGGCCCGGGGCCCAGGGGCAGAAGTTGCCCTGAACAACCTGCATTGATTTAGGAGGTGTGCGTGCTGCCACTCTAAGGAGAGGCTCCAGGCGGCTCACAGCTTCAGGATAGCTCCCCGGATAGGCCTGCCTGACCTCCACACCTGGGCTTGCAAACACTGCCTTCCAAACCCAAGGGCCCTTGCAGCTTGGCACTCTCTCTCGAGTCACCAGGAGCCGTTCCGTCCAACCAGCCCCTTCCTGCACATGTGGAGGGGAGAGGCTTTGTCAGTGGAGAGACACAGAGCTGTTCCGCCAGGCCTTTGGCCGAGGCCATGGGCGTCCGGTGTGAAACAACTCAGGCTCCCCTGCTGAAGACACCACCTCCGCACAGTCCGGGCTGAACAAACTCAGAGTCCGGTGGCACCGGTCTCAGCACGGATTGTTTTCAAATGCTGCTTTAAGCGTTTGACCATTTATTATGGTGTCTGTGTTGCCGAACAGCCTAGCTACTGTCGTGATCTGTCCTGAGCCCGTTTTGTGAGCTCCTGGCATTAAAGTGGTGAGCGAGAGATTGGGCTGCTGCATCAATCAGTTTGCTCTGGAGCCATCCTTCCTGAGCTGAGACAAAAATGTGTGAGCCAGAGGCTAAAAAACTATGAGCTAGCTCACACTAACTCAGCTTAGAGGGAACACTGCTCACAGGACTCCACAGCTGAGAGGGAGTCTTCGTGGGGACCCCTGAAGTACACGGAGGGCACACCCCTGCTTCTCGCCCAGAAGCCAAGAGATACGTTCCAAGGACTCTGTGTGTGTGTGCGCATGCGCGTGTGAGACTGCCACCCCAACTGCAGAAGGCGGGACAGGGGCTCCAAGTGAACATCCCACTAATGGCAGGTGTTCTGCAAAAGTAAGTCATGGAAATTGGCACAGGTCACAGAAGAATCCTGCTTTCCTTCACATAGAAGCAGGATTCCCTGGGCAGCAGATCTTAGTTGTTCTTCAACAGGGAGTATACACATCATAGCGCTTCACTTTGCACACCTCCAGTAAAGTATATCTGAAGCTATTTGCCTGGATCCTCCCAGTGGATCCCAGTTACTGGATCCCTCCAGTGCTCTGCTCTCTCGACTGCTGGGAAGGAGCTGGAGGCAAGAGGGAGGGGAGTGATTCGGTGGCCTGTTTCCCCCCGTCCAGTTATATTCCAGCACTCCGCCTCCGGGGAGGGGGGCCTCTCCTCCCATTCCCCAGCCACCCCCAACAGTCTCCCCGCACCTCAGGAATTGGGCAGCAGCCCCAGGACCCGTCAGACATCAAACAGCAGGTGGACTCGTTGGGGCACTGCGATTCTCCATCAGGGCACTGGACAGCGTCCACGGTGGAAGGAGGAAGGAAACCTGGAAGCCAAAAGAGAAATGAGAAAACCCTCACCACCGGGCCTTCAGATGCAGATCAGGCCCCTGCCTCTCAAAGGGTACTGCTGCGGCCCAGCTCTCTGGCAAAAATAAAAAAAAGACTCCTTTCCAAATCACAGAATGCATTTAAGAGAGAGCACCTGGCTAAGTCACTGGTTGGGTGCACCTGACACCGGTCTTACAGAAAGGCCAATTTGTCTTTTCGCTGAAATGAAGGTTGTACTTCACCAGGGTTCAGTCCCTAAGGGTGCCTCCCACTTCCCTGTATGAACAAACATGGCCTCATCCTGCCCACCCACACCCACCACCCATGCCAATGGAAGAAGCTGAGCTTTCCATTCCTTTGCCTTGGGGAACCTGCAGCCGTAAGAAGAGCTAGGAAGCAAGGCCTCGTTGATTCCATGCAAGGCCCTGCCCAGGGGAGCCCAGGGACTTAGGAAAACCTCTCTGTGGAGCAGGGCTTTGGGGTGACCCTTTCCTAACATTATTCAGTAACTGATGGTATGAAGATAGACTCAAGTGGGTAGCTGTGTAGGTCTGAAGCAACGTTTGAGTCCAGAGTGGCACCTTTAAGACCAACAAAGTCTAATTCTGGGTATAAGCTTTTGTGTGCATGCACACAAGAATTAAACTTTGTTGGTCTTAAAGGTGCGCATGCACACAAAAGCTTATAGCCAGATTTAAACTTTGTTAGTCTTAAAGGTATGCATGCACACTAAAAGTTATATCCAGAATTAAACTCTGTTGGGTCTTAAAAGTGTGCATGCACATGAAAGCTTATATCCAGAATTAAACTCTGTTGGTCTTAAAGGTGCCGCATGCACACAAAAGCTTATATCCAGAATTAAACTGGAGTTGGGAGTAAGCAGTGAAGTGGCTAAATTTGCGGATGATATGAAGTTGTTCAGGGTGGTGAAAACCAGGGAGGATTGTGAGGCACTCCAAAGGGATCTGTCAAAGATGGGCAAGTGGGCATCAACATGGCAAATGGGGTTCAATGTGGCCAAGTGCAAGGTGATGCACATTGGAGCCAAAAATCCTAAATATAAATACACGTTGATGGGGTCTGAACTGGCAGAGACTAATCAAGAGAGAGATCTTGGAGTTGTAGTAGATAACTCACTGAAAATGTCGAGACAGTGTGTGACTGCAATAAAGAAGGCCAATGCTATGCTGGGGATTATTAGGAAGGGTATTGAAAACAGATCAGCCAATATCATAATGCCCCTATATAAATCAATGGTGCGACCTCATTTGGAATACTGTGTGCAGTTCTGGTCACCACACCTTAACAAGAATATTATAGCTTTGGAAAAAGT